CGGTGAGACCCGTCCCCTGGTGACACTGTGGAATCCTGTTTTGCGGGTAGCAGAGGCAGAGAGGTGGAGCTCATGTCTCCCAGGCGTCTGAGCGTTAGATGCAGAGCTGCCACCAAAAGGGTGATGACCGCCCCCTCACACACACACACTGTTAGAGGTGGGAGGTTCAGCTGTGACTTTTTTCCCTCCTGTTATCTCATTTCCTCTACTGGCTGTTTTAATTTTTTTTTTTTTTGTCTTCCATAACAATTTGTAGAAAGTTGGAGATTGCACAGTATCAGGAAGGAGAGACCGAGGCTGTGTAGGGGAAGATGAAGACCCTGTCTCGAGTGGGCATTGTTTTGCTTACTCAGTGGGAAACAGCTGGCGGCCCCACAGGAATCTGTAGAAGACGCCGTGGAGGTGGCCCTGGGGTCAAAACAGACACCTGCCCTCCACTCTCACCAGTGAAGGTTCAGGGTGTGGGGCTCCTTTCCCATTGCTGCATGCAGCTCAGGGGCTCAGCAGGTTCTGAATTATTCCAGTCTGAAAGTGCTAGAAATCAAGACAGTGGGTTTTATGCTCCTCTATTAGCTCAGGAAAACACAAATCACCGTTTGTCAGAAATGTTTTGGGCATATGAGTGCAGAAGAGCAATGCTGGTTTGATCACAACTGTGTTCCTGAGACTCCTTTGAGGGCCGTTTGTGAGGTCTGAGCCTGGTGTTGAACAGAAGCTCCCAGCAACATAAAACTAATTATTGTATTTTGCCAAGGGGACAACGTAAGTACTCAGGTCCCTTCCCCTTCAACTCCATTTAGCTCTGGTTGATGTGAACATAATTAGGCTAATTTACTCCACCGTGTGTGTGTGTGTGTGTGTATTTAGCTCTGGTTGATGTGAACATAATTAGGCTAATTTACTCCACCGTGTGTGTGTGTGTGTGTGTGTGTGTGTGTGTGTGTGTGCGCACGCGCACGCGCGCGCGGGCACATAGTCAGGGCGGAGAGTGCCATGTTTGGCTGCGTATGTGTACACACTGTCCTTGCATGCATAAATGCATGTGAGCATTTGTGTTCACATGGCTTGTATGAGCATGCATGTTCATATGCATGTGTGTGCCAGTGTGTTCCTCCCAGGTTTGTGTGCATGTCTGCATGCCTTGTAGGCTTTTTTGTGTATTCGTGTGCTATGTAAATCTGTGCACACCGTTGTCTTCCTCGCATGTACGTTCACATACGTGTACATCCCTTGCATATTTGTGTAAATATGTACACGTGTTTGTGCATTTCTTCCATATGTTTCTGTGAGTGTTTATAAATTCTTGCGCTCACCCGAACAGGCTGCTCCTCCGAGTTCCGGTGTTGACCTGCTTAGCTCCGTTTCCTTGAGTGGAGGCGCCCTCCTGTGGCCACTGAAGACACTGCACCATAAAACACCATCTTGGGTGTTTGTGTCGTTTTTCTGAGTTTTCAGTGGATAAAAACTTCTACTAAGGTACAGAAATAGATGGCAACTTTTCAAAATTTATTTTTGGGCCAGGTATGGTGGCATACACCAGGAGTCCCAGGTATGTGGAAGGCTGAAGCAGGAAAGTTGCTCAAGACCAAGAGTGTGAATCCAGCCTGAGCAACTTAGCAAGTAGGCATCTCAAAAATGAGAAATAAAAACAGTTGGGAGTCAGGTGATTGGACATGGAAACCAAACCGCAACCCACATTTCCAGTGATGAGTGCAGCTGGTTGGGGAATTGGTGTCCAGGTCAGGGACAAGAGTTTGAGCCTCCTGCCTCTTCCAGCCAGCTGCTCAGGGCTCCAAGCATCCAGGCTCTCGGCTGCATCATTCCTGTTTCTGCCTCCAGGACACCTGACTTCAACTTGAAACCTTAGATCCAGACTTAATCCCTTATGCAAAGACCTGTCTCCCTGTAGGGCCATGCCAGGGTCAGAACACTGCCAGCCCACTGTAGAGCACAGGGCATCTCAGACACGGCATGAAAATGGGGCATCCCCCACTCTATAGGTGATGGTACAGTCTCTTTGGGGCACTGGATGAGGACTTGCCTGTCCTCACTGCAGGTGGCCCCGATAGCCTCCAAAGGGCAGTGTCCCCCACTGCATCCTCCATGGTCTGGGTATAAGATCTGGTCTCTCCCTCCTCCCACTCCTGCAGTTGTGGCCTTGGGCCAGCAGGAGAATGCAGGCAGATGCCATAAGGACCTTTCTTGCCAGGAAGGGCTCTGGAATATGGACACAGCTGTCCAAGCCTTGACAGTCCTCCAGGGAGGGCATGTTCTCCTGAGCCAGGTATGATACCGGGTGACATGTGACCTGCCAGGTGGCAGGCGATCCCTTTGATCCATTAAGTGACAACTCACCAGGTGACAGTGATCCTGAGCCTTCCATCTGCAGGTATCCCTGCTCTGGAAACCTCCAACATCTCAAGCTGTGGTCCCATAGGCCTGACAAGGATGGGCTGGGATGATTGATCCTGCTCCACAGACAACACCTTGGTCCTTCCACAGGGAAAGATGGCAACATCTCTCTGTGTCCCCAACGGTACCCAGGTGTTGGGACACAAAATTAGTTTTCACTAGTTTGACAGATGCACAAGCCATGCACACCAGATGCTTGCCGCCCTCCTCGGGGCTCCAGCCTCTGTGACCTCATGGCATACCTGACCTGCCACCTCCTTCTACCTGTGAGGGCCAGCAAGAGAGGAAGCTGGCTGCTCCTCCGGTAAGGATAGCGAGTGGGGATGGCGGGCTCAGCCTCCCTGGAGCCCAGCTGGCACATCCTGGCTCACCACCCTGGCATGGGGGACACATGCTCATTGATGTCCTTGTGCATCTTGAGGGAGACCACTGCTAGACCTGCCTGGGGATGCCACCCTCACCCTGCAACTCCATCCCCCAAGAGCCCAGACCCCCCGCTCTATAAGCAGAGCCAACAGCAGTCACCTAGGCTGCCCATCCACTCCAGGTCCCATCCCCATGCTGAACCCCAGGCTCCCAGAAGTCACAGCTGGCTCCTCACAGGGCACAAGCTGCAGAAGCACCTCCAGGAAGAGCACTCATGCAGGGTGTCCAACGAGTAGCCATCTGTCTCCAGATGTCACTGAGCCTAGACAGAGGACTGGAAGACCAGGGAGGACAGCCCCAGGCCTGACCAACTGGCAAGGACCCTCAACCTCAAGGGTGAGGATCAAACTTGGAACCCACACTACCATGGATATTGTCTCCTTCCACACAATGGCAAAGTAAAACCCTTTGGGGGAACAATTACAAAAAACAGCCACCTAATCCGGGTGTGGCTCTGAATCCATGGCTGCCCCTGCGGAGATGGCAAAGTGTGACAGTGGGCCATACCCATCACCTGGCGTCCTGGCACCAGGTCAATCCTACAGTTGGAGTGTGAACAAGCAAGGGAGGGACTTCCTGCTAAGCATGGAAACTCTTCCTTATGTTCATATCTCCTCCAGACTGAAGTGGGTTGGGCAGACTTTACACCCTAACCAAGGGAAGAGGAACAGGACAATGTCCAGTGGGATGCAGGGGCACCTTGTAGTCCTCACCCCTCTGCCAGCTGGCACCCAAACATAACAAACACAGTTCAGGAAAGGTACCCAGCCACTGCTGCATCAGATTCCAGCAGGTTCCCACAGCCATCCACAGGGGGCGGTGACACAGCCCCACTGGTGGCACAGGGCAGAGTCCTAAAGGCCAGTGCTGATGCTCCCAAGGTCTTGCCAGGTGCCTTGTGCCATCTCCTCCTCCAAGAGCAAGGGCCCGTGCTGCTGACCAGCCACACTGCAGGGGCTCTGTGGACACTGCCCTTCCTTGCCACAGGGCAAGGAGCTGTTTTGGCCTGTTGCTGACCCTGGTGTCACCTGAAAATACAGGTCCCAACCACTCTGGTGAGGACTCGTCATGAGGAGGACCGTGACACCCTGACACCACCATAACTAGCTGTGACCAGCCTCAGGTGGTGCTAGGCTGCAGGTGCCACCCAACCCCGTGGACTGCAGCATGCCTACATCTCATATCTTCAGAATAACAAAACCAAATGTCACAGGAGCCTGGCCCTCGGCAGCACCCTGTCTGGGCCATGATCTCCTCCATACGGGCAGCTCACACCTGGTGGTGTTGCAGCTGCTGGCTGGGCTGGGGCCAAGGAGGAGCCTGCCCTGGCCTTGGAGTGTCACACAGCATGCTCCCAGGAGGACATCTGTAAAGGGGCTGCATTGGACAGCAATGCATCTTCTGCCCCAAACATAACTTTATCTTGCATAAGGGAAAACATGGAAAAAGGCCTTTATTTTTTATAGTAACTGTGTACTTTACCGATACCGTGAATGCAAGACACCTGGACTCAATCACACATTTTATTTACGTAGGTAGCATTAAAATACATTACACCCCGGGGTGACAATTTCCACAATAAGCATTCAATCTAATCCATTCTCCACCCAGCCACCCCCACCACCTCCCACCAGAGCCAAATAAACAGCAAATTCATGTGACCATCATTTGAAATCACAGATGACGCCTGTCTGTAGCTTCCAAGCTGTGACACTGCTGCATGGATTACACCAAGTTTTCCTGGTTTCAGTAATGCAAAGTTGGACTGCAGCATTTTAGAACCACATCAACTCTTTTTACTGTCCCCTGCTTCCAAGAGGGCACAGGAAAATAGTGTGAACAGCACCCCCAGGAGGAACATGCAGGCAGGAAGTCAGGTACACCAGAGGTCTACCTGGTGCTCAATAAAAACAAAGGCTAAGAAGCAATACATCATGCAAGTGAACTGGTCATGGGAAGCTGGACAGAAGCTTGATAGAATAAAGGGAACTTTTAGGGAGCCAATGTCTGTTTGCAAACTGAAATGTTTAGTTCAAGCTTGTAGGGCAATAGCTGATTTATGTTGTGTGTGTGTCCATGACTGAGTTAATCAGCCTCTTTCTCCAGCATGATGAAATGACCCTGATCTACAAAAGCCAGAAATGCTTTTGCTGAGCAGAACCTTTCTTTAAAAGGGGGGCGGGGGGCTGGGAGATTTAGTAAACACTAACCAATATTTGGAGCTGACTTTGGACTCCTAGAGAAAACTGGAACTAGGACAATAAATATAAGGAATGATTATTACAGCTCAAGTGACTCATGGTGGCCTTTGTGTGGCCAGACCGCTCTGAACAACAGACTAACAGCCACTGTGCTGAGTTTAGTCACAATATCTTAAGTTATGCTGCAATGAATTCCTTCTAATTTCAAACACCAAGACGTCACGGGGAACCTCTCTGCAACATGTGCCCATTGCCTGTCTGTACCTTATTGTGCTTCACAGCTACAAAAACCTCAGTAGGAGCATGGGGGTGCAGAAGCTGGAAAGTAATTGACAGACTACTCTCTAGAGGAAAGCGTTGATGGATTTAGTGCTGGGGAAAAGCGGAGTCAGCAAGTAGAGCTGTATCCCAAATTGTGTACCATGCCACCCATGGTGTCACCTGTCTCGAGGCCCCTGATCCTACGATCCATGACCACACGACCATAATCCTGCTAAATGAGGTGGCCCTGGACAGCACTGAAAGACGGCTGCTACCTAGCATGTACACAGCTACACGCGAGCGGGGCTGTGCGTCTGCCAGGTAAGTCCAGCCTAGTGGTTCCCTTTGGTCGACTTCTTCTTCTTCGACTCCTCTCTCTGCTTCTGCTTCTTCCTCTTGCCACCTTCTTTGAACCCTAAGGAAACACGGCTTGTGAAACACTGCCATGAGATGCGGGCGGTCACCAGTACCTCCCCACATTAAAATGAAAGCAATAAACACAGCTTTTCTTGGTGTACATCCAGCCTAAGTAGAATCGGCAGGCCGAACCTTCGTCATTGCTCAGAGAACATCACAAGCACACAGGGAGAGAGGTGTGCACCTCGCAGCCAAACCAAGAGGCCAGCACCATCAAGATAGAGCCTTCAACTATCCTCAGCCTCCGCACCTACCTGTTTGTTCTTTGTCACCAATCTGTTCAAACCCCACCCTGCCTCTGGGCTCCCTGCACTCTGCAGATCCCTCTGCCAGAGCACCCTGCTATGGTGGGTCATTCTCATGGCTCAGTGGCCACCCATGAGAGAGTGCCTCTCACTCCCCCTGTGCTGTGCTTAAAGCCAACAACAGCATGACAACTCGTCCAGCCAAAGCCAAGGAGATGCTCACTCTCTGGACAAAGTGTTCTGCTTTCAGCTCTGCAACAGCTGCCTTATACCCAGCCCACACCAGAGTGTATGGGGAGGGGTTCGGGGCTGAATCTGGGCCACCTCTGGAGGCATAAAGGTCTTCACACCAGTGGTCACTCAATGTGCAGCAAGGACACACGTGTGAATGCACAGTTAGTCTCCTTAGGAGGCAGACACCAGGCAACAGGAGGTAAGAGAAAGCCAGCACACAACCTCCAGCTGCAGCCAGGACACAGTCCTGGCACTCAGAGCAAGCAGCTCTTTCCAAACACACAGAAGTTGAAGGACCCATTCGTTCTTTCACTCATAATCTTTACAATGTTGAATACTTTAAATTTCCCTTTGTAAAGGTCTTATGTTCTGGATAGGCCTATACTGTGTAGGACTCACAAACGCAAAACACTGCAAAATCTTCTTCTAAGTTTCTGTTTTGTGAACTGCTGGTTCCACCTAAACACCTCAGCCCTCTCCAAAGTGCACATCAGGTTTTAGAGGTCAGCAGCACAAAGTCACAGCACAGCCAAGAAGACAAGACAGGCTGGGAACACAGCTCAGGGAGTGGCAAAAGCAAGTGTTCAGCATGCAGAAGGCCTCGGGGTCCATCCCCAGCACCCAGGTCAGTGCCACATGAAGCCACACTGGTTACTTGCAGGACACAGCCACCAACCACCAGATCTCCCACCCCTACCTAAGAGTGCCAACTCCACTCCCTAACTCTGGGGTCACCTGACACCCCTGTTGCTAGGGGAAGACCCCACACATGCAATAGTGTTGTCCACGGCATTTAATTCAGGAAACACATTCTGAATGAGAGGACTCAGCTACCCCTCAGTGGCTCTGCCAGGTGGCTCAGCATGGCCCATGGCTGAGCCACAAAATGGGGGTAGGGGCGAGTTGAGGGGAGTGTTGTTCCCTCCTTCTAATACTTCCAAGGGACATCATGCCTGACCATATGCATCTTTTTAAGAAATTAGCCAAGATTTCCAAATTTGGCAGAAAGGTACTGCAGGACTTTCGGGAACCATACCAGGCCTGGCCCAGAGTCACCTAAGCCTTCTTAAACATAGGGGTTTTGGAGCCAGGAGAATCTGTAAGAGAGAGGTGACCCAGGACTACCTGTTCCTCAGGCCCAGGGAGCCTAGGTCTGCACAGGCCGTGGGCAAGCTGCAGATAATCCCTCTGGTAGAGAAGCCCACGGAGGTGGTTTTATTCCTCAAAGGGAAGTAGTAACTCTGGTGGCTAACTTAGTTTTAGTCCCAGTGCTATACTATGCAGCAGTTTCCCAGATGCTCCCTAGAAGCAGCTTTCTCCCCTCTCGGCAGGTTCAAGCAGGGATCCCTACCAGGGTACTCTTCCAAGCCCTCACAGCACAGGCCCAATTAGCAGCAGGGAAAGCACCAGGTTGCACAAGAATACAGGCTGCCATGTCTGCCCCAGAAGAGGGAATCTGCCAGTTCGTGACCTTGCCACAATCACAAAATGGCAAAGCAACGCGATCTGTGAAGGGAAGAATGGCTCTGCAGTCCTTGCTACAAACTCCTCTCCCCAGATTCCTCTGCAGTGGCCACAAGGCCTTGGGAACGCACAGCTGCTGGTCACAGTGGAGGGCAGGGATGCTCTAGGCCCGGCCCATCTGGACTCCTTTGTCTAGGGACATAGGAAATGACACAGTACCTTTCCAACAGTTCATAGTCCTTTGTTCAGGAGGAATTGGAATCTACACACCAGTCTCGTCTGCACTTTGTCACATGACCCTTCCCAAACCCTCAGACTACTCAGGACAAGTAGACCGTGTCCTGGGAGAGCTCTGTGAGTGTACTGTGCAGAGCAGAGACTTCCTGGATGACACTGCAGAGCAGCCCAGCACCCCCCAGCTCTGGTGACACGTGCCTAAGGGTAGGCTCCGTCACCCTCATACTGCTCTCAATTCCAGGGATGCTCTGCTCCAGCTGAAGAAACCCAAAAGTGACTTAAGGAACTGGTCCTTAAAGAGACAGCTCTAGGAGAGCAAGGGTGAGCCTTGGTCCCGAGCTCAGAGCGCCTCATGACCACATATGCACCGCCCCACACAGCACCAGCAGCCTCCACAGTCACCTGGCTGGCTGCACACACCCCACGGACCACAGCAACCTTGGCACACCACAAACATCCACCATATCCCAGGGAGCTTACTCAGAGACAAGAGGGAAAAGGCACAGCAGGGCCTGCACTCCAGCTGTCACTGGGTACAGCAGTGTAAGCTCTGCTGGGGACCTGGCTGCCTGGGCCCTGCTCTGCTTCCAAAGTGAAGCTGATGTAGATAGAGGCAGACATGGCTGTGCTACATGGGATCTAGTGAGGGATCTCAACCCCCAGCTCATGTGACGGTAAGGAGCGCTGAGGTGATACTCAGACAACACACTTGTGCACGTCACCAAACACAGGGACCCCACTTTAATTGTGGCAAGCTTTGCGTGGAGGAGCTCAGAGGGGAGCATAGGCTTAGGCACCACTCCACCTACATCTCCACTCAATGGCCTGGCGCCTGTCCCTGCCCCACCCACTCAGGTAAGGACGCAGCAGCACAGGCTTGATTTCTGTCCTCGCTGTGGGGGAGGATCGCGTGAGGGACGCTCCACACCAGGTCCACTCTGCACACCTGCTGAACTCATGGGGACATCCCAGATGCCAGGGACCCGAGGCCTGTCCTGCTCCTCGTCGTCCTCCAGCACGTAGTGGGGCACGGACCTAGCCACAGGGGTGGGGCGGGGTGGCTTCAGCGGGCGGGAGCTGGAAGGCTGGGCCGGCAAGGAGTGCTGGCCTCTCCGCATGCGCTCCTCAGCGAGGGCATCCTCGTCGGCCACACCTGAAAGGACATCATGGAGAGACCCGTGAGCACTGTCCAGGTGGCTGGCTCTGGAGAAAGAATCCGGAGAAGGGGTCCATATCTGCTCCTCCCAAGACAATGCCAGGGCCTGGGCTTCATCTTCAGCATGGAAAGAAAACAGCCCCAAGAAAACCAAGCCCATTCAGCCTGCTAAATTTAGTAAGTGTGCCCATGCCCAACCTTCAGGGCACATCCATAACTTCCAAGGGCACGACCAGGCTCACAGAAGCCGGCCAGCTACCCACCCTCAATATGATTCATCAAGCCAAATCTGCTACCTGGCACGCCCCAGAGGGCAGCAGACCCTATCCTGGGTACCCAGGAGGAAACCGGTGGGCTGTGGGGAGTGGTCCTGTGAGCCCAGACCCCCGTCACTGGGAAGACTCCCAGCTGGGCTAGGCCTACACCCAGCACACAACACATGCTCCCAACACACTGATTCCTTACTGCTCCATGGCTGCTCTTTTCAGTCTTTGGAAAGACAAATACAAGTTTTGCACACTGGATGGGTACTAGAAGTGAAATACAAAGGTGATGATTACAGAAGGGTTTCAACTCAACTGCCAAGATGGTATGAAGGCAGTCACAGATACAGAACTAATCCCCAGAAGGACCTCGTGGCGCAACGGTAGCGCGTCTGACTCCAGAACTAATCCCCAGGTGTGAGCCGAAGGTGGCAGGATGCCTGTCCCTCTGTACCCTGCACTCCCCTCTATCTACCTCCTCCTAATGAGCAGCAGTCATCCAGCACCCTCCAGACACATCACCAAGAGCCCGAAGCCAAGAGGTATGAAAGAGCCACTTTTCCTTGTAGGGTAAACTGTGGCACACAGCCATCCTGTACGCTGGCCTTTTCTTCATCCCTACTATCCCAACCAAGAATGACTGTTACTCATTGAAAAACAGGAAAGAAATGCATGCAGCTGTTCTTGTCTGCACCCCACTTGTAAGGACCTAGAACCATGGAGTTCCCAACTGGCTCCCCTCAAGTCACTGGCCCTGGAGAGCTCTGCTGACCTTACCCTCCAGCCAAGACCTCGGTAACCAACCACCTGGGCCAAGACCCATGGCTCGGTGCTAGGCTGCCCAAGTGTCCACTGGGCAGCAGTCTCACACCTCATCGTCCCCATCAAGCCCCACCTCCAATGCTTTGGAACCACTGAACCCAGCACCCAAAGGCTGGCCGACTGCATAGATCTGGATTCTAGGGGCTCCCCCTGAAAACAGGCAGGCATGTGGATGTGTCCATGACCTGAGACCCCATGGCTGCAGATCTAAGAGGAAAACCACCCCAGTACCTGGAAGTCTCACCACTGCAAGGCAGTGACAGCCAGAATGGGCTTGAAACAGGCCAGGCTCAGAGGAGTGGAGGGATCAGGGGCTGGCACCACCCTAGAGAAGTCTGTGAAGGGCACAGCCAGCAACAAGCTCCCCAGCCTATAAATCTGTTTCCAATTCTTGGAGCCCCCAGGACAGCAGGCACATAAGTCACCGCCACATCAGGTGTTGACAATGGAAGGTCAGGGAGAAGAACCACACCTGCTCACCTAGCTGCGTCCTAGGTCTCATGGGGCTCTGGGATGTTTCTCCACCTGCCTGGTGGCACCACATGGCCAGCGGTCACCAGGACATGCAGGAGAGAGTGAGCATGCAATTTGGGTCTATAAGAGCAAGAAGCCAGGCACTTACTCCAGACCTTCTGAGGTCAGGCCTGCCAAGCTACTGGACAGAACCTCCCCCACGTCTAATGTGACATTTAGAAAGCATACTTTTCAAGTGTGATGTGAGAAAAAACCACGGCTTCAGGTACATGGCACCCCACGTTCCCTGCTATATCCTGGCCTCCCCTCACTTACCTCCACAGCTGCCAGCTCGATCCCTGGCAAGCCCAGCACCAAGCCTTCCCATCCTCCTCCAAGCACGAGCACAGGCAGGAATGGGGTCTCCACCATGTGGTTCAGGGCATGCTCTCCAATCACCTGCACACCTGTCTGCATCTGCAGCTGCAGTGAGGCAGCAGGTGTGACCGCAGCAGCCCCACTCCAAGTGTTCATCCCTACAGACCCAGTCACTGGTTGCTAGGGGCCTAGAGTGCAAGTTAAAATGCCTGAGTTTCTTGCATTTAAGAATGTCGCTTGTCAACTGTGAAAAGAAATCTGTCTCTGGGTGATGGGCTCGCCCACTAGGGTCCTCAGGCGTCACCTACCAACTCTACATAGGCTGGGTTACAGAAACTCCCACTTTCAGATCTGTGTGCTACATGCTAAGAGTTGCATGTTCACAGCTTGTCTAGAAACTATCCCAAAACACACCAAGAACAGATACATTCAGTTTTGAATGTTACTGTCACCACTGCATGTGCCACCCTCATGTGCAGGGGTATCAGGGACTCCTGCTGGCCACTACTCAGAACCCAGGAGACCAGTGTACCCTCAGAGGGGCCCAGGATGGACAGCCACCTCAGAGCCTGTAGCCCCACAATGAAGCCTCTGCACCCTACCCACCCTCTCTCAAAGAGTGGCTGCCCCTGCTCCAGCGCCCCTGCTTCCAAGTGCAGCTCTTCCTTTCCTGGCCCCTGCAGCAGGAAGGGCCAGGTAGGAGAGGAGTGCTTAGCACAAGGGCCACTCTGCCTGAAGTCTCCATGATTGTGCTTCCCCACAGCCCATACCCCAAGTGGTTTGGTGGGCTTCTGTGCCCCAACCCTGCCAGACCATGTCCTGCCCCAAGAACAGAGCACCAAACCAGTGAGGACCAAAGCCTTGATGCCATGAGGTCCTCAAAACCTGTGTCTGAAAAGCGACTGGGAAAGGAAATGGGGGTAGGACAGTGCTGGGCACAGCAGCACATGCCTACAATCCCCCTACTAGTGAGGCACATTCACGACAGGGCTGTAATTAGTATGTCTCGCTGCCAGACAGCCCTGAACCACCAGTGGTACATGCATGACTGTCCCCTGATAGGACACACACAAATGTAATACCACCAGTGGATCAAGCCAGCCTGAATGCATTAACACTACCCTGGGCAACTTAATGAGACCCTGTCTCAAAATAAATTTTTAGAGGGCCAGCAATTTAGCTCAGTGGTGCCATGCCTGCTTCACAAGCACAAGGTCCTAAGTATAAATTAATTAATTTATTTATATATTTACAATATATAATATATACTGGGGGGCCTGGGGATACAGCTCAGTGGTATAGCTCCCCAGGTTCAATCCCCAGTACTGAATGGATGAATCATTTCTTTCCTACATTCTCCTTCCTTCCAGGAAGGAGGCACCCAGTGAGCCTCCTCCTCCCACTATAAACTGCCTGAAGGTGTCAAAATGCCAGCACCCCAACTACTGAGCTACTGAGGAGGGTGCACAGAGATGCACACCCAGAAATTCACCCTGTGTTCGTGTAAACCCACTGCTGGTTTCAGTATTATGGTCTCCAGAAGTCCCAGGGATGCCCAGAGCTGGCTCAACCAGGGCAGATACCTAACCAGGCCTGTGAGCTCCTGAGCCTGCCTCCATCACTCCCCTCTCCCCGCAGGGAAGAAGCTGGTGCTGAGGATGCTAGAGAAACAACACAATGCAGAGGATACGTGTGGAACCAAGAGTGAGGTTCCATACCAAAGCCATCACTGGGCGGCAGAACCCCAGACAGCTATGGACACCAGTTTCTCCCAATCATCCAGCTTTAACTTTCACCTTGAAGCCTCCCAGGCATGCAGCATCTCTGGGCTTTATCCTCAGGCCCTCCATCTGTGGGGTCCCTAATACCACTGCTCCCCATGACCCACAGGCTGGCTAGGCCAGATGCTAGCCAAGTGAGACCCAAACCTGTAACCCCAAGGACTTGCCTGTCCCCATGTGGTCAGGAAGGGCTCAAAACCACACAAAGGACAAGGATTTAACTTAGTGACGTCTCACCTGCCTGGCAAGCACAAAGTCCTGAGTTTGTTCCCCAGTACTGAAGAAACAAAACAACACAACACAACATAATGATGAAAAAAAAATACAAAGACACAAGTCCAATTCAAGCTCTCAGGTGACCTTCACACACTGCCCTTCATAGCAGTGCCATTCATCCCAACCCTGGGAGGCAGGAGGGCACCGACCAGCTTCAGGAGCCAGGCAGTACCATCGTCCCACTGCATTAGCACTGAGCCCACACTTGGTACCCACAAAAGGTAACCACAATTGAAAGAGAAGCCACCTTCTAACCACAGCCCTGCAGGATGGACAAGCGAAAAAGGGAAAGGAGTGTGTCGGCAGCACTCCTGCCACTAATATATAGCAGTGAGAGGAAGAGGAGCTGCAGAGAGCCTGGGGATCAAAGGAGACATCAGTATACAAGGACACTGCTGAAAGACAGACCAGCTCTGCAGAGAGGACACAAAAATATACCTCAACCAACTTATGAGATCTGACTCTGGCAAGTAAATGACTCAGACATGGTGGCGCAAATCTGTAATTCAGCACTCAGGAGGATGTGAACCCAAGGACTCCACAACGAGTTCAAGTCCACCTATACTACAAAAAAGATCCTGTCTCAAAACAGGAAAACAATCCAAGTAACAAGTAAATGTTGTTCACGCACATTATAGCCCACCACACTGCTGTGGAGGGTGACCTGACTGTGATGTGAGAACACATTGTGTGTTGACTTCCCTGACGCCAGCCTCACTTCCCAGAATCAAACACAGTTCCCCCTCACCTCAACTGCAAAACCAATAAAAGGGTTCCAAATTTCCCTGCTTCCCTAAACAGCAGGTCCATGGGGTCACAGCTGCACACAGACTGAAGGGCACTCTTCCTCCAGAAAAAGCCTGTGTGCCCTGCAGACAGCACACCCCATGTCTGTCTCCAATGACACTTTGGCTCCAGTGAACAGCCGCCTTCTAACTCTTGGCAGCCTGCCCCCAGGAGGGCATCTAGACCAGGACTACCAGAGGACATCAACGGCCACATGAGAAGGATCTGGGAACTGCTC